TGCTCTGCGTGGGCGACATGGCTTGGGCGGAGCTGTGGATAGGGGCGATGGGGATGTTCACGGTGCACGGTGGGCTGCTCTCGGGGACGCCGGGCGCGCCAGGCACTGCAACCAACAACACAGCCTGTCAGCCACTGTGAGCTGCCCCGACCCCGCGAGTCGCCCTGGCCCTGCTCTCCCTCCCCAGAGGCTTGTGGCCCCCATCACTGTTCCCTGGCCCAGCTGTCGTGAGGGCCAGCGTGGCGAGGGATGAGCCATCACCAGCTGTTACACAAGCATTTGGCATGCACGAGAATCACAGAATCATTACGATTGGAAAAGATCAACGAGATCAGCAAGCACAACTGTAAGCCCACCAACACCACACCTGCTAGATCATGTCCCTAAGCACCTCATCTACACTTTTCTTTGAACACTGCTGGGACTCAACCACTTCTCTGGGCAGCCTGTTCCAATGCTTCACTACTCTTTCTGTGTAGAATTTTTTCCTAATACCTAATATAAACTTCCTCTAGCGCAACTTGAGGCCACTTCCTCTTGGTCTATCAGTAATTATTTTGGAGAAGACATTGTCCCTACCTCACGACAGCCTCCTTTCAGGTAGCTGTAGAGAGCGATAAGGTCTGCCCTGAGCCTCCCCTTCTCCAGATTAAACAGCCTCAGCACTAGAATGAGGAATTATCCTCCAGTAGTACTTTGCATGGTTTTTGCTTTTCTTCAGCGCTTGCAAAAGACATTTGAGTTGCTAATTAAATGTAATTGGAAAATTTTGTGGCAGCATTTCCACATAGTTCATAGATTGAGGTAAAAATTGTTTTCTGAACGAGTTGCAAGAAAAATCACTACATCGCTTTTGGACTTTGCCATTCCTTTTTACCCTTAACTTTTTAAACTATTTGCTTATCTTTGAGCACTTGCTTGTGTGCCCTGTTGCATTATGATGGGCTGCTATCTTATCCTCAAAGCAACAAATCAGACATCAGTTCAATAACCCCATGGATTCCCATGCACATTCCCATTCCTACTGCACAAAACCTATGTATATCAACTAGTAACATCAATGTTAAGGTAAACTTTCCTGAATGATGCTTTAGAAGTTAAATTAAAATTTCACTTTACTGACTTTCACAGAGAAAGGATTTACCAGATAAGTCTAAATTTTTTTTCGTCCATTGTGCGGTTTTAACTATACAACAACTGCCACTCAAACCTATTAAGGTTTTGATGAATCAGGACTCACATTAGTTTTCAGGGCTTTTTGTTGTTGTTGTTGTTGTTTGTTTTTAAATAAGAAATACATCAGTAAACTATAAAACATCTATTCAGAGATACGTGGCTGCTACCATCTCATCTTTGTTCCTGTGGCACTGCTGTGACTTCCTGACTTTCTCAAAGGCTGCCACTCCACGATGTTTAGGCCCAAAGGAATTTGAGTTGGCCCAGATGGCCCAGGCTGACTCTGTTTGCAGCCAGCCTGCAGTCACTGTGCCACGCTAGACAGAGCTTCTAGGGGAGGATGAAATGACACTCTATGAGCTGACCCTGATTTGACAGCAATTACAAGCTTTGACTTAGATGCTTGATGACTACTGGAATGAAAAAATAAAGCTGGAAAGAAGGAAAAGAGAAAGCAGAAGAGCTACATTATAGGCATCATACAAATATTTAGTCAAATGTTCCCTAACTCAATGAGCTTAAAAAAAAAAAAGAGAGAGAATACAGACTACAGTTAAAAAAAGGGAAATATTTCCCCTTGAGCATAACGTGTGACAAAGCAACAAGTATCATAAAAAAAGGGAAGATAATAACAAGGAGAAGAATATGGGGAAATGAAACACAGAGAAGACTTTTGAAAGTTCTTGAAAGAAGGTTTGCAAGGAAATGATGTGAGAAAATAGATGGGAGGCTAGAAAGATTCAAGAAGTGGGTACAGTACTCAGTACAAGCACAGCTTTAATGTCTGGAGAAGTTGCAATCAGAAAAGTGAAAAGATGAGGTTGTGAAAGTAGCCCATGTATGGAGTTGAGGAAGAGAGAGTGAGGCAAGAAGCAAATCAGTAAATTTTAAACAGAAAGCATGAGACTTGCTCCAATTCATTTTGCAAACAGTGCCAATGCTGATTCCAGTGAGGATTATCACTGAGAAGCTCGAGAGTAATAGGGAAATCAGGAGATCCAAATGAAGCACAGATGCAAAAGCTAAGATAAAACGTAACAGAAGGGAAGAGGATGAATACTGTATACACAAAAGAAAACCCAAAAATCTTCACTTTTTTTTTCTGAATAAAAGTTATGGAAGATCATCAGCAAGTTACTTTGGCAGGTTCCTGGCAGAAAAATAGACTACAGTCACATTTAAGATTATTTAAGTGGACAAATTCTATGAAGAGTTGTGTTTTGCTAGACCACATCAGGCAAGAGATCTGTTAGGACTCCTCTGACCACTAGCCAATTCCTAGTTAATTTCAAATTAAAATTATAGCCATCTATCCATGTCTTATAATTGTACTTCTGATAACACTAGGCTTTTATCAACATTTCTCACCACAGTAGGAGATGGTAGCTATGTAGATGTTTGTGACGTTTGTGACTGTAAATTTTCACACTAGTTCTGCTCAGTTAGAAGGCAGCCAACAGGTATACCTATCCGACTCTAAGTGCAATTCTGTGCTGCTTTTGCTGAGAACCTATCCGACTCTAAGACAGTGCAATTCTGTGCTGCTTTTGCTGAGCATTCATCCTGATGCCTGAGGTTAGCAAATTATTCTCCAGGGCTTTGGATTTAATTGTTACCTTGACTTGAACAACCTAAAATGTCGTTGTCAGGGGTATTAAGTGTCTATCCAAGTAAAATTTCATTTGTCACAGTATTGCTTAATATCATGAAGTGTTTAAATCCAGTGGTTTTTTTCATATTCCTTCAATGATTTTTAATTGATTTGTTTGCATAATTTGCAAGTTAAGTCAATTCACTGTCCATTTGTCTTGTCAAATCATTGTTGACTACATTGAAAAGCACCTGTTCCAAGAGTACCTCACTATTAAAGGCTCCACTGTCCAGGAGCAACTTTCTGCCACGTTTTTCTCTTTCAGTAATCATCACTTGCTTGCAATTGCTAATTTCTCCATTAGTATATGGTACTTTTTTCCTTTACATACAGTCTTTCAGAGAGCATATCTATGAAAGTTCTTCTTCCTTATTTTTAATCAAAGTAACCTTTTCTGTTCAGGGCTGGATTAGATTTCATATTGGAAAATGCTGCCTACTTCCTATGCACAGGATATATACGATTAACAATTTCTCCATTGTTTTCTTGAAATCCTAAAGTGAAGCACTATGTGGATGTGAAGCAAGCAAGCTAAGCTCCAAATAACTAGAGAGTAAGCTTCTTTGCAAGTGCATGAGTAACTCTTTGGGAGTCCAAAGAGCTATTTTGATGCTTGGGTCATGCAAAAGCTTGGGTGCCTTCAGCAAAAGCACCTGATCTAACAGATGGGAAAAATTCTATTAATTTTGACAGACCCTAGCCCAAGGTTTTAACTGCTTTGCAGTTCTCAGACTTTTTCCTCCTTAATGAAACCTGGCTGCCTACGAAGCCCATTCCTGAAGTTACAGACAAATGTGTCCTAGCAGCAGAAACTTAAGTTCTTGGCTATTATATGCTGATTTTATTTTTAATTTATTTTTTTTTGACTAGAGGAAATCCTAGGTACTTCTAGTCCTTTTATCTGTCAAATGCACATCACCTGCAGTCTCCCCTGCACTGCCTGAATCTTCTGCTACCTTATGTCTCAGTGAAATGAGAAATTTCTTCGTAATCCTCTGTTTAAAGAACACAATTATTTCAGTCTCTGTAAGATGCAATATTAATAAAAATTCAAAAGGGCATTCAACACTTGTCAAACTGTGGCTGTGTCATACAGGAACCTTACCTGCCCTCCCACCAAAGCACCTGTCAAGCAGACTGCGCTTTGCTTATGTCCCTTATAGGCGTCCTACATATTATTATTCTGTTCTACCAAGATGCAGAATATAAAGCTTCACCTAATGGAGAATTCTTAAAGATTTAAATAGATGATTGACTTTCAGGGAACTTTAAAGTTAGCAACAATATATGAAGTATATTTTATATTTGTATATATTTTATATATTTATATGGATTCTATTTTAGTTTTATATATGTGTGTATATATATGTATATATACTATCAATATCTCTCTATATAAATATATTAAAAACATTGTCCATAAAACATATTAGCCTTTTTCCAAGTCAGTTACTACAGTGCTCCCTTAGACTAGGAAATTTGGAGTTGTGTGCTTACCAGAGTGGGCTAGGGACACAAGTCCTCCAGCTAGCTTAGTCCATAACGTGACAAAACTCCCATTCATTCTTACCTGGTAAATCATCCTCATCCTCACTGAAAACATTTGGATTAAAGACAGGCAAGTTAATGTAGTCCATTGAAATCTTTCGCACTTCTGGGAGATATATGGTCATTTGCCTGGGCTGAAGATGCAGCAAACTGGTTTTATATATTACTAGGAATGGAGAATAAGAAGAAATAAAAGAAAAAAATGTTACACAGAGAGAATCTAAAGTTCGAAAAGAATCAACTCAAGGCAGCGATGAGCTATGACTATTTTCATATAATTTATTAATGAACAAATAAATGCATTTATGGGACCACTCTTAACCACACCATTGTGCACTACTATGCATGTTCAGGATGAAAGCAATAGATTAATAATCATGCAGAACTAAAAATAACCTGTAGAAATAACAAATTTCTTCATCTAATTTTCTTCTCTTTTTAGGGAAGGAAACTAGTTGCCAATTTTGAAACTTTTCACCACAGAATTCTATAGATTTATATGAGTTGAGGGGAAAACTGGAAAGCTGCCAGAAAGGAAGTCTATTGAGGATAATTACATACAACAAAACCCCTCCTGGCTCAGGAAGTCCCCGGAACCCAAGCTGTTGGAAACTGGAAGAATATCTGAAGGAACTATCATTCCACACTTGCTCTGTATTTATCTCTTTCGCTAGATATCAGCCACCCATACTGAGAAAATATTGAGTTATAGGGACCTCTGGTCTGACTCACACACATTACGGTTTGACAGTCACTGCGTGCACAGATGTTGAAAATCTGACCATTTTCTGGAGGAATGGTGCTTTATAAATAGTGGCAAGTGACTTGACAAATAAAGTGGCTGGAACAAAGATGAGAGTTTTTGTAGCAGTTCAATAAATGGAAGGGGCCATTGTCCTGTAACAGTAGCATTGGTTATCCCTGTGGAGCAGAACATCCTGAGAGGACAGTGTTTGTCTGAAGGCTAAGCCTGCGAGGGTCCTCCTCCCAGCAGTTGCTGTAACAGTCAACATGGTCACAAAGAATATCTACTTATGTAGCTCTGAATCTAGGGCCTCATTATGTAGTGTTAACTAAATAACGAAACACTGTCAAAAAAACTTTTTCCCCCCAAAAAAGCTCTTAAAAATCCTACACAAGAGGCTAGACAACTGCTACTTTTAATGCAGGCTACTGTGTTCCTGATGCTCCAGCAAGAAGACCATGTGATAACACTACACAGTGATTTAAGGAATCTTGAGCAGGATGTTAAAAGAGTTTTTTTTTTTTAATATTACTTTGGAATAAAGAAGAATTTAGAAGCTGAATGATTATGAAAATCTGTCCTCTTAAAATATTTCTAACAATTACTGAAACTTAGAAACTGCAAAAAAAAAAGTTTATTCTTTTGTTCTTCATTTAAATAAACTGAGAGAATAAAGTTTTTGGTGGACAATTAATCTCTTTATCATATCTAAGTCTTTTAACATTTCGTTGAGATCTCATTTTTGTATAGAGATATTTGAATCTCCTAATTACAGTGATTTAACACCTGATTCCTATTGTCCAAAAAATTTACTTTGTAAAAGAAGCCTTTTGATCACTTACAAAATCATATCATATAAACTTGCTACTTGTTAGCAAGAGTTTGACATGCAAAAAGTTGAAAAAGTTTACTTTTACCTGCACCAAGGTTAGTTGGTAGGAAAGCAGCCAAACCCACAATTTTAAATTTGGTTCCCCAGATGTTAGATGTGACCTGAGCAAGATAGTTTTGCTGCAAAGAAAAAACAAGTTCATTTTCACCTAACAAAAATTGTATTAAGCTCTAGTAAACACCTTGCAATCAAGCGAGTGATAATATAAATTCAGCTCCTTTTATTTTATTTAGAAAAAGCCTAATGTGTCTACATATCAAGTGCTAGCACCCTGCTATTAAGAAGCCTGGCTTGGATATCTGAACACCATTAGGAATGACGTCCACAACAACCACACAGACTGCTTACAGCTGCTGAAGAACCGCAGAGCATCACCGCTGCCTAATGAGAAGAGGGCTGTTCAGATGCTTCCTCTTCCTGCACAACAACACAGTGCAGTTATTCGGTATTTCGGGAAGTAGGATTCCCTGCCCTTTCATTCTATGCCTAAGAATCACTTTATAAACAAGAAATAAGATAGAAGTGAATTATTCAAAGAGACAAACATATTTTTCCTGGAGCTTCCAAAGCAGTTTTCCAAAGCACTGCATTCATGGTGATCAAATTACGGACCTGAAAGATTAAGTGATCTTCTGGAAAGCCAGAGTCATGCTCTCGGCACCAGCAACAGAATCTATGCCCCATTCAAAGGTCTTTTGGCCCTCTCTACAGTCACTGCTATGCAAGTGACTTAAAACATTCTACTGTAAAGAAAAAGGTGACATGATAATCAATAGGGAGAGGAGAAGAAAAAAGGAAAAGGAAAGGAACAGGAAAATGTTGTTCAATACCAACAAAATGTTTGCCCCAAACAGTTCTATAGCCACTGAATTTCATTTACCAAGAGATCATAACACGAAGAGCACAAAATGATAATTGTTTGCCTCTTCCAATTACAACTGTTCCATGTAATTATGAAATAGAGAACATTTGGCTCCCTGACCAATGATTTCTTTCTCTACAGATTCCTAGAAAAGCCGGTTGCTCTGGTGGCATGACGATAGTGCTGAGAATTAAATAAGGACCATTTTACCACTTTCCAACTGGCAAGAACATCAGGTAGAATACAATCTCTCACAGAAGAATTTTTTTAAGAGAAGTCAGTGGGGCCAGGATTTATCAAACAATGACATCGGATATTACGGACAATTCCTAACAGAAGCAAGCAAGCTGTATTTGTATTCTGGTCTTGCAGCAATGCACACTATACCTGAGTAATATCTTCTAAAGGAAACTCCCTTCGGGTTAGGCTTGGTGAACCAATAGAAGGTTTCCTTATTGGTAACCTTGGAGATCTTGATATCTCTTGTGCAGCTCGTGACATCTTTGGAGATTTGCGAGCTTCGATATTGATTCTGTATATAAAGCAATAATTAGAATCATCAACTGGCATACAACAACACACAAAATGAATGTCTCTGAATATACAGGTGGTAATAAAAAATGGTATGGTGTTTTCTAGGTGACCAATGGATACTATTTAGTCTACAGGAAAGAGAGCTAAGGGTCAAATTAAAGATGTGTAAAGCCCAACACACTTGAGGTAACTCGGATCACACACTCTTAGAGTCACTTAAAGCTTACAGTAGTTCTGGATGCAATAAAGCCTCCGCTAAGCCATAAAGATGCGTAAGGCTGAATTACTTGGGCTCTGCAGACTTTGAGCAAAGCCTGTGGAAATGGGGAGGTGACATCTCAGCAGGCAGCGCTCAGCACTAGGAGGGCAAATCAAGGCTCCACAGAGGCAGCCAGGGCTCTCGCGCTGCACCACAGGTTACTGACTCCCACTCCCCATTACACAAAGGGTGCTCAGAATGCGAGACCAGGGAACTGGAAAAGGTCACTGGAAAAAAACGGCAAACAAAAGTTACATTTCAAAAGTACATTTTATAAACCAAAGTAAGCACATAGTTTACTGTTTTTATTTTATTTTGAGGATGGTGGTGGTGTTTTTTTTTCTCTTGAGCCATTTCTGCTTTAGGCTCAGGAACTGATGATTCATTTGCTAAATACCTCAACTGAACCCTTGGGTATCTCATGCTGTCAAAAAAAAGGGTTGCTTCTCCTCTGCCACACGCTAGAGCATCTCATAATATAAAGTAATCTAAACAGTATCAGCTGCAATTAGAAGGCATCGAGGCCTTAATCCTGCAAAATGAGGCTGGCAGGTAGACACTGGTGCCTATGAGAGCCACCGCTGACATCAGTGAGGCTCATGCAGGTGCAGAGCTCTGCCTGTGCACATCAGGAAGGCACTGAATAGGTGGAAGGAAAGCAAACAGAATAATAAAGAACTTAGCAGCATATTTTGCATATTGTTACACAACCTCATCAACCCAGTATGTGTGGGAGGATTTGTTTGTTAAGGCTTCACCACAGCTGCAGCACCACCTATGCCAGGATCAACAGCATGGATTTATGAAGGACTGAAAATACCCGAGGAGACAAATACTTTAACTAGTCCAGCAATCCTAAGCATTGAGGAAGTAAAAACACAGACTTTTTGGAGGAGAAAATCCGTGATGCCATTCTGGCAGGCTGGGGAGGGGAAATTTCACAAGTCCTGAAGTCTAACAGATCTGGCAAACTTTAGTAGATTAAACTGCTAATACCACAGTTAAAATAGAGAATATAGTTGACTCTTGCACATCTATGCTAGTATGCTGCATGACCTTATACACAATAAAACAAAAAAGAAGCACCTCCTCTCCAAATGATACTTCATTTCAGTGAACGCAATCCTGTCTGTACGGCACCTAGAACACTGCATCACAAGGCTGGAGCTACGAGATATTAATATTCTATTCACATCAAATCAACACATAATGCTTAGTTTTATATTTAATTATTTCCTTCTCTGCACCCTTCAACAACGCATATATGGACACTACTACAGAACTGAATTGGCAAGATGATAAAGTTAAAGTTGAAAAAGTTGAAACACAACACAATTATTTTGCTAGTTATACAAACAAAAAACTCAAAACCAAACTGCTTTAAATGTTACCTTTTTGTTACAGACGCAGTTTCCTGCCAAACAGATGCTGATTCTCACTTACACATTCAGAACCAAAAAAATCTGCATACTATTCTGTATGTAACTAGGAAAGGACAGACAGCAGACCAAAGAATGAACTACAGCTTCCCACACAAATAACGCTTCTTGCTTGTCATGGGCCATGTCCTTCGTTTTTTCTGAGCTGATAAGCTGCTCTGAGAGACAGGCAAACCTGGGATTTTGCCTGCATGATTACTGCAGCTAAATACAGAGGAGGGTTTTAAAAGCTACAGAAATTCTCCTGTGTTGTGCCAACTCTCCAGAAAATTGCAGTTTGCTCAAGTAGATTACTGCTTATAAAAGTTTGCTTTTAATTTTATGAGGTGTCAAGGGAGGGGAAGGGAAGGGAAAGGAAGGGAAGGAACAAGAAAGGAAGAAAACCTGGGAAAAAGAATAAAACTCCAAGAAAAAAATACCTGGGGAGTTTGGGTGATTTGCTAGCTCGGCTGATTTTGGGGGACTTCTTTGCTGCCCAGTCGTCACTCAGTTCGATATCGCTGGAGTCAGAGCAGTTGCAGCTGTCAATCACAGTGGAAATCAAGCTGTTTCCATAGATTTCATCTATCAAGACAGGTCCCAAAAAATGTAAGTGCTGATTCAGAAAACAGACCCAACTACAACCATCCACCATCAGAAACATAAATCCGATCCACTAGCAGTAGCTGACATAAAATTGTGCAGAGATAATTAACTGTTTTTCACTCTGCCTAGTATAAGCTCAAAATTTCCAATGGCATTCAAGCGGCTTCAAAATTGAGAATAAAGAGTATTTTCTGTTAATTAGCAACCTATTCTCTACCACTCAGAATATAAGAAATTCCCTTTTGTGAACCAGAATGCAGTGTGGTATTATTTCAGATGCTTGAGCTTAGTTTATACTAAAGAGCTTTGCACATCAGAAAAATCATTTCAGATGCCATCTTTCATGTTTCATGGAAGACTAGAGAGATACAAAGATTTTTCATTAATTCATCGGGATTTAAGATCCAGAATATTTCTGTATCATTCTTATACAGAGCTACAATTCACTTCTACCTGCTTTCCCATCTGTTTTAGGATCCATGATGACAAACTCTGGCCGTAACTTGCTGATACGACGTCCTTTCAGGATAGGCACCAATCCCCCAAGGTATTCCAAGTACAGAGTGTAACATGGGCCACCGACCTCTGGATCATCCTCTGTCCGCTTCATTGTGCAGTGAAGTCGTTCGTTGCCAGCTGTTGGGTAGCTGACAAAATCTCTCATATTGTTTGGGTCTGGGATAGGAGGCTTAATTGAATGAAGGAAGGAAAAAGAAAGTTTCCTAGAGGTTACTATTTTGTTTTCCCGTGGCTACTTAATCCCAATCCAAGTAATCAAATTTGAATCCAGATCTAATCTAACAGGTCAGGATCAGCGCAGGTCACTGTGTGAGCTGAGAGCTTTTAAGCGTAACTACCCTGATAGTGTAAGGACTCATGTAACAAGAAGGGAAGCAACAGTTTTACCATGACACAGTGTTACCATCAGCTTCACAAATCTTTATGATTCACAAGTGCATTTTACCTTGGCATGTTCTTGGACAGGCCATCCCCATAGGAGAATGCAGATCAGGATGTGTGAACCTTCTTCTCAGTTTTAATAGGCATTAAATAAATCTCCTTTCCCCCGCAATAGAGTACATCTTTCATATTCCTCTTTCCTAGCTAGGAATCAGCAGCTAGACTGCTGGGCTCTTGAAGAGGAGTAACCCTTAATCAAGCTCTTTTAACCTTCTTTTATGCAGGACCAGGATTTTATCCATTATCATTTAGGAGAAGCATGGGGGGGCGAGGGGGTGGAAAAGCAACCCCCCTACACACTGCGTTTCCTTTTACCTTGATTGTTGGTATAAAGGCAGTGGTGAGGTATGAGCAGAGGCGAGGCGGCAGGCTCAGCTTGCTGACATCCTTGTCGTCCCGCAGACAGCTGGCGATGCTCTGCTGGCACAGAAGCTGCAGGCTGGACACCCGGTGCTCCACTCTGACAACATACAGGGCAGGCCCAGAAGCCATCAGCAGGCGCGAGTCCCTGTGACCCCAACAGATGGAGATGATGGGACGCTGCAGGAAAAGGAAGAAGCCACAACTTGAAAGGAGCACGTACTTTCTCCCACACAACTCTACAGTATGTGAAAGCAGCACCAATCCTGTTACCCAAGTTTTCTAGCAACGTAAAGGGACAGGCTATTGCCCACAAGAAGGGAGAGAAATGTGAACTCCTGAAATTATCAATAACAGCAGTTATTGATGTTTAGGCAGTGCTTTTTACCCACCAGTCTTAAACCTCTTCACACAAGTAATTGTCCCTTGAATTCACTACCTAGATGGGGAAAATGAAGCACTAAGAGTGTAGGTGACTTTAAATTCACATAATGTTGAAGAGCAGAATCTTTTGATGTCCAGCTCGTATTATTTTTTTTCAGTCATTTAATCTATTTTAACCTCCTACTAAGGGCTCACATTCTGCAAACAAGAAGTTAAATCATTTGCTCAGAGTCACTTAGTGAAACAGTGGACAAAAGCCAACTGGCTCTCACTTTGCAGCCTAAGTCTTTCACTGCACAGGGCATTTTTTGGAACATTCTCAGAGAAACTGAACTGTAAAGGACCAGCATGAACCAAATGATGGATGGCCTTTCAGTCATCTGCTTCTCCACAACCATAAATACTGAAATTCACAAAAGTAAGCCAAAAACAAAAGAGTTCGGTGACCGGTATTGAGTGTTAGTACTCTGAGCAGTATGGCAAAAAAGCATCTCAAAGGCTCCCCTTTGCACATCAGTCCCTGCTGCACGAACATGAAGAGTCCCCGTGATGACAGTGCGTGCCACACAAATTCAGGACAATTAAAAGGACTGACTTTTCATGCAGTAGGTCGTCTGCCCTCTCAGTTGCAGGCATCAGATAACAGCCTGATTAAAACACTGAACAGACTGCATACTTTACAAGCACCGGCTTCAAGAGCTATGCATGCTAAGATAAGGGTAAATTTAAGCTTCAGGGTGCAAATTGATCCTGATGTGTAAAACTGGTGCACAAACATCTTTTAGCTTTATCCAAGAGAGCCGGTTATGCTTGCAAGGCGCTCTCCAGACTCTCTTCCTAAAACCTTTTCTTTATGTAAAGCACCAGGGTGTTATGATCTTTTATAGACCTATCACTACTGACTTTTGCCCTTCATGAGTACAAGATAGCAATCTTATAGCTGCCATTTCTACACAAATAAACAACACAGGGTAAGAAAGAACCTCTTAATTCATAAGAGGCTGCAGGCTGCAACTACTGCACTACAAAATGTTTACTCCTTCCTGAGAAGTGCTCCATTCTTTTCACAATCCTGGACATGCGAAAGTTTAAGCAAAAGTGTTCCCTATTTAAATTATGGTTCTATACTACTGAAAGGATGCCATCAATTTCAGAATGCCTGAATCTTGCACAAAACACACCAAACGAAGTAATTATACAGAACAACATGTGCTCATGTCAACACATGATTACTCCTTTCTGGTACAGCACCGTACCCACATATCTGGTTTAAATCAGCCCAGAACTTACTAACAAATCTGGGGAGGGGGAAAAAAGTTTTCAATTACAAGTTCAAAATGCTTAAAGACAAGAAACTGTGACAAGACATTTTTCTTGTCTATGTATGATATAAAGGAAACACAGCTGCATGACATTCTACCGATCTCTATCATCAAGATAGGGGCAGGATGAAACAACTTTCTCAGAAAAACACTCTCTCTCCCATGTCATCCTAATCTAAGTTTCAAGAAAAACATCAGTTTTAAAGTTAGAGGAATGAAGCAGGTTCTTTTTCACTACATCTCGGCAACACACACAAACACACACACACACACTTCCATGGAGGCAAAAACCTTCAGGCTGACTGATATGCAAACAGAAAGCAGCAACATGTGAACACTGTCATTTTCACAGTAATTGCTAAAGGCATTTTGCAGAGGAGAACTTCAAAAGAATTGAGAAATCCCTCATGTATCATCAATAATTATTACATAGCCTGTTATAACCACAGATGTGGGATAGTCTTAGTCAATCCTCAATCTGACTTAATTTTATATACTCAAAGTACTGAATATGAAAATTGGAACACTCTCGTGTCGTGAGTTTACAGAGTAGATTTGAAGTGTTTAATGGTGTTTTGATGAGAAAGCGCAACACAGTGTTCCTTACTGATGGGTATTTTCATGGTCTGAGAGCATGGCTTTAACTCTCCTACTGTCCTCCCTGAGAGCAAGGAGACGGTTCATTCTGTCGATAAAAACAAAACAAAACAGAATTGAAAAGACATTGACTAAGGTTAGGTGCTGCCATACCATATGACAGCCGGTGAAAGGCACAAGTAGCCATGTCCCTGACTGCCTCGAGGAGTGAACTGCAGCATGGGCAGAGCTCTCTGCCTGATCCCTGTGGATCTGCACCACCTGCTTCTGCCCCGTTCACACTGCCACCACCAGAGCATACCTCTGAAGAGGGGAAGGAATAAACAAATGTGTGGCTTAGCACCAAAATGTTTGCTTATTGTAGACTTTAATGCCGGAAGAGATTATGAAATCTAATATTCCAGCTATCATAACCCATTACACCACATTGAAATAGCCCTCTGTTTATCCATTTAATTGAGCTAAATGAAACCACTTTTATCGACAGGCTACTGATCCAGGTGGAGAAGAGCAGAGATGCAGATAGCACCATAGACAGTACAACTTAGAAGCTTAAACATATTCCTCAGGAACAGATTTTTGAAAAGTTTTGAAATGCTGGATGGGACCTCTGGCAATAAAGCACTGGAGGATTGAAGAAGAGTATGAAGTCAGAAGTCACAAGGCACTGCCTCACTGCATGATTTCCCCTCAGCTTCCCAACCTTAATTCAGCCATTTTCTAGCTTTTCAATGCCTGCCTCCCTTAAATCTTGTTTATATATTTTACGTAAACAATTGCCTGTACGAGTGGGCACACATTTAAATACACACACAACATGACACCTACATGGCACTGTTTGTAGATCACCGCATTTACACTCTTCCATTTGCATACTGCATCTCCTCAGCACATGAAAGGGCTCGCAAAGCCCCCCGCGCACATCTCACGCACTCTAGTCTCACTGAACAGCGCCTTAGCTGTATCTGTTTGCATTTGCTTACTGATTCACCAGACATGCCCAGCTGGCAGTTTTTCCGGGACAGCATTTCTACGGCACGGTCAGTTCTGTAGCGCTCCTTGAGTGTAATGTCCAGCAACATTTCATTCAGTGAAGGGCTGGGATTTAAAATGAGGTTCAGGGAAAATTAGCTCAACATTGGAAGTTTGCGGGAAATAAAAGATCACCCAAATGCCAGATCTGGCCTGGCTTTTGAATGCACTGTTCTCAAAAACTGCCCTTCCCACTCTTCCCGTTGAAGTACAAGGATATGGATCACACACAGCAGCAAGACTGCTAGCCCACAGAGCTCCTTGCAAACTCTGCCAAGGCAAAACAATTGCCCTGCAATGACCAATGGAGAAGCACTGCTCCCCATTAGGCAAAAAAAGAAGGAAGGAAAGAAGCTTTTGATATCTCATAAACTTTACATGTGTTATACTGTACTCGTCAAAAAATGAACATGCAGATTCTAGCACAGGAGACAATTTTATTTTACATGTTTTCACACTTGTTTTTTTTTCCTACCAAGAACAAGGAAACACAGCTACAAATCATGTGACTTCTCATCTCATTTTTCAAGCAAAATCCCATCAGGTTTTGAAGGATCTCACAACAAACATTCACGTAAATGAATGAATGAATTCCAGGGTTTATATGCAAATATGAAAGCCAAGCTGAACTACTATACAGAGAAAGGATTCAGCTTTCCAACCATAATACATTAAAAGTAAGTCCTAAGTGCCAAAAATAACATATTTTATCAGGAGAAATACTGACTATAAGCACATCTCAAAAAGTGGTTAACAAGAATTCTTTTGACATTTTTTTAAGTGTGAGCTTAAAAGTCAGATACTCCTAATTCCATTTTGTACACCTTGGTTGGGATGTGTACTCCTCTTGGAAAAGCAGCCAGAAATGGATATGCCTGCTCAAGGCAGCACTCTGTAGCTGCCTGCTGCAATATAATTTATGCATCTTTCATCAGCTCCAAGCCATTCAAGTCAATGAAAACACACTGCTGGCTTTGCTTCTTAATACTTCCCTTGTACTCAGAAATCCTGAGCCCTAGGGCTTGCCTGCTGCTTGCACTAATCCCTTGGCTACTGGGACTGAAATTCCCAGTGGTTATGAAAATAAACATAAAATGGTATTTCAGGGCAGCAAGTCCAGCAACAAGTGAATTTTTTTGATGCTGGTCCCGCAGGAGAGAGAACCTAGTCACCAAATTGTATCTAGTGAATGGTATGCACGAGGAAAACCTCTAAATGACCCAGGTTGCCTGCTCTCTTCCACTTAAAACTGCTGTCGTACAGATACAGATACACATCCTGTCTTTCCCTCTGCTTTTTTCAGAGAGACCCTGCAAGGTGCAGTGGCTGGAGAGCCCAGCTGGATCAATGGTGAGTTCTGCTTGCCTGTCTCTCTGCTGCCATAGAGTCCATGAGTAACTGCTGCAAAGTCACATAATTTCTCGTGTTCCACATATTTGCCACAGAGAGTAATCACAGTTGGTGGGGTTAAAAGTAATGTACACTACGAGGTGGTCAGAAATTCTACTGATGAGGCCTTATGACTTTCTATAGAGCAAACTATTATTTGGTATGCAGATTTGCTTCTTACATCTTCTCTCTCACTACAGTAAGTTTTTTTTTTTTTTGTTAAGATCTCAGGAAAACAATGGGATTTACAGAATGAGTCTTCTCCTAGACAAGTGTTTCTACTTTGCAGTCACGAGTACCGAAGATTCCTGGATTCCTGGTAATGATCCATTTTTGTGGCAGTCAGAGTTTAGAGCAGTTCTCTCTAACCTGACAATATCAAGGCCTTTACTGATATCCAGAAGAACACCTCAGTAGCTAATTCAAATTGTTGCTCTTTCAGTAAGAAAATAAACTCTACTTGAAGCTTCCATGTCATTCAATAACAGCTAAATAGCACCAATCTCAGGGGATACAAATGAAAGGTGATGTTAATCCAGATGCAAACCTGAACACTCTAGGTGGAGTGAATAAAAACAAAGCAAGCAAGGTCTGCTCAGGTAGGTAACACAAAACACAAAGATACAAAAGGTAGTCTCTTCTTTCAAAGTCCTTAAGATCTGAATTTAACCCAAAAGGTTTACTCTCATTCTCAGGCCTTAGTAAAATGGATTTTATATAATTACCAGGTTTCTGTCTCGCAATGCTCTTTTCTGCTCAGGTGCTGGGACTTTTATAGCACGGAAACAGCCATTTGACAGCTACAAAGGCCAGCATTGAGTACTGCATCTTTGAATTCTGCAACGACTTCTGCTGCCTGCAACATGTTAACAGCAGGTGGATCTTCCTCTCAAAGACTCTTAGAAATCTCTTCCATGCAGACTTAGTTTTTGGTTCACCGCTTTGAATATGATACTGAAAAAAATATGATTGCAGCTTTTCTGCCTCCTCACAATGAAATATGCATCTAACTTCTTTGCATATTATTTTGGCACTTACTGGACTCAGCTCTGTCTTCTTCATTGCACTTTAAGTTTGAATCTGTTCTTACCCCAGCTATACAGTGGTATAAAATCACAAGCTAATGTCAATTTACTTGAGAATTAAGAGATGTACAGATGAGATAAGCATGAGGATTTTTGAGTCCATATTCTTGTTCCCCTCATCCTCTCTGGGACACATATGAAAAACATTACAAAAAACAGAAAAGGAGTCAGCATATAAGCAACACATTTGAGCCAACAGACAATAATTTCACAGATTTTGTAAAGTTGAAAGTTAGGCAATTCTTTAGTAATGATGCAGGAGACTCTTCTGATTCAAATACAAGTGGGAAGGTACAAAGCAGCTGTATCCACTCAGGAAAGACCTTTGTGACAGAAGATCTGATATAATAAAGACCTGCCTGCACAACAAACAAGAAATTCTGAAGTGACAGAAATCGGTTTGAGCATGTCCGATAAACAATTTTAGAAAGACTGTGAAGGAGCCTGAATTAGTCCGATTATTATAATTGTCATCTCAGATTAATGCCAGGAAAGGTTCTGAGGACTTAACAAATCAAAATAAATGTCTTCGTAAAAAATAAATACCCCTTTAGTTAAATATATATATATGACTGGCAGGGCAGCCTGCTGTTTTTAGTGCATTTTTAGATGCTGGAAAAGCTAGCTAAAAGAACTGGGACTGTTTTTGGTAGATCAGATTTGTGTTTGTGAACACAAAGGGGAAGGATGTTAAGTGAGAAGATTTACAGAAATTGACAGTAGTTTTTGAATACTTAGCAGCTGATCAGCAACTTTCAAATATCTTGAAAATATCTATATATTTTCTCTATAGAAAATCAGCATTGACTCTTTGGAGTCACAGTATGGATCCATTTTTCATATAACTGCTCCCAGTTATATCAAGTCTGAGGGGACTTTCTGAAGACCCTCCAGAAAGTTCTCTGTTCAAAGGCCTTCATTCTGTCAAAGAAATTTGATTCTCCATAGTGGAAGTCCCTGATTTGCCCAGCCTTTGCCAGTGTTTTCACCTCTTCCCTCTACATAGTAAATATATTTTGGCAGAGTTTCAAGGTGGCAGTGAATGAGAAAGCCTGTTATGCTATGCTAACTCTACCATTCTGCTTATGAACATAACTTTTCATAAGAAGTTCCATGTTCATTTGGAGACTTCCAAAGAAGTGTGATTTCCCTGTTCACAGTTTTATAGCCAGCAAAGTAGGCTTATGACTCATAAAATCCTACACTGATGAGAAGAGCTTAAGAAAGTTAATCAAATTATATAAATGATAATCAAGTGATAGAATGCCAAAAACATACTAAAGGTGGAAGAGAAGGTGGGATATAAACAACCTGGAAGATGTTTTACACCATGACAAGTCACCATTAAGATGAATAAACTGCAGTACTCAGTTCTCTTCTGCACTGTGGTCTGCAGTGAGTTTAAGTACATGCCAGCCAAGTTGCATGTAAATTCTGCATCTGTTTTAGACTGTGTTTTGTTATAAACAATTCAATAAAATTCATTTTTTCCTAGCAAGACACTCAAGACAGACAAACAGCACAAACATTGACAGTTGCGTGTATTTTACTGACAAAAATTTCAGGCCTCTGCTTTACGGACTGGAACAGAGGACCTCACCAAAAATCAGTTTTGTACAATTAATCTGCTATTTTGTGTGTGTGTACGTGTTCAGTGTTGCTTTATCTTTTTAACTTCATATGAGGAGCAATACTCATATAGAATAAATGTGCCCTTCCAGTCACATATACGTGTACTTCAAGATAAACAGTTTTACTAGAAGAGCTTGAGATGCAGAAATTCTCTTCCATTTGCTTTCAGTAACCAGTGATGAATTTTATAAAATCCAATTACAAGGCTGACTGCCATTTAAAAAAAAATAATGTATTTACTCTGATAAATTTACCATCAGATAAATTACTAGGACCACTGACTTATTCCATCATCTTTGGATATGCATCACTGGAGCAGAATAACAGAAGCTACTAGCAATTTTTTTTGCAACAACAATTTCTATCTGACGTTGTTAGCAAACCAAGTGTTTTGCAATGTTCTAGTATAACCATTATTCATCTGGTAATATTGTTAGACCAGCATTTGAAGACACAGAAGCACTACAACCACATGAGGAAATACAGGTGCCTTTCTGAGAGATCTCCTCATATCCTCCTGCAGCTGAGTACATCTGAATTCAAATGCACTACAAAAAAGAGAAATAAGCATTAACTAATGAGAGAAGATGTCTCGCTCTAAATTTAGGCTGGTTTATACACTCAGTTCTTAGATTAATATATCAGCTTGAATGTTACTTTTAGCCTTGTTTCCTAAGGATACGAAACTCAGTGATTTTGCTATTAATTACTAGTTGCTGTTCCCTCCTATCCTGATTTCCATCCTTGCAACTTACAAAGCAGTTGGCCAATTGCATTTTAAGTTGTCAAAGGGGGAAAAATTCTTTGTGACACTAAGAGACTACAAGTTTAGTGAGAATTAACAGCCAGAAAGAGGAGAAAGGCTCATGTTAACATTTTCACTTTGAGAAATACTGCAGGATGACCTTGACAGTTAACAGTTCTGTATGACGTGTCAGTTGGTCCACAAGAACTCACTTTAGAGCGCAAGAGTTAGCCCTCACATCAGCCACAACATGTGCTGACTTTCTCCAAGTTGATTAAGAGGAGAAAAGAGAACTGAAAATCTGAAAAGCAGTTGAAGAGGTATAGGGAGAACCGGAGGGAATGAAGATATCTAAGTGAAAGAAAATCTGACATTACTGGAAACAAATTGGGGAGCAGAAAGACAAGCCTGTGCAGACGAAAACCTTAAGGCAACTAGACTCCTTCACTTTCAGTTGCTTAAAGAATATCCTAATTTTTCCAGGGAGTTATACTGATTAAAAGCCTAATATGGATATATTGTATTCTGGTACTCAAAAACAGAATATGGTGAGAGTAGTTTCTTGGTCCAGGAATTAAGCAATACTGATACAAACAAGTTTTTGTCATAATTAATACACAGAGTAAAGAACAGTACTACTTTGCTTAAGCGGCTAAGACAAAAAAGCTGTGTGTATATGTATGTCCTTTAGTCACCTAAATCAGTGTTAGATGCCTCTCCATATATTTAGGTTGGCTTTAGAGAAGATTTTTTGTACTACAAAACTAAGGAATTCTATCCAAATTAAACTAACATTAATAAGCACAGGTTAGCGCTAAATATGAGCCAACATAAAAGCTTAGCAGCCGTTTCACTATGTCATCCTTTTGTATCTACCTCAGATCAGGGTACTGAAAGAGAAATGATAATAAACAGTATTATCATTAATCATAATTAAGTAAATATATCTATAGCATTTTCCTTCACTTTTGGATTTCAAAGTCATTATAAATTAACTTTTTCACTGTGTAACAATCAAAAACCAGAACAGTCATCTCCATTCTACAGAAAATCAAATAAACTATAGACTGACATTCAGTTTTGTTCAGAAATATCAACAAAGACCTATGAAAAATTTTGTCTTCCTAAGTAGGACAGAGATCATGTATTGAAATTTACTCGTCAAATAACATGATCAAGAATACAGTGAACGCTGTATGGTACGTATGAACAGACACAAGACTTCCTACCCAGAGCCCTGGCATATATGGATAAACATCATTCTTCACTTTTTGATGCCATAAAAAGCAATATGCTACATCAGAAAGAAAATGATTGTACACTGGAAAACTGCATAAACACAAAAAGAATAATCTTGTGGCTACGATATTGGACTTGGAATATTTCACTCCAAATCTAGGCTCTGCTACAAGTTCTCTAGTCTTGTTCCTAAGTAACTTCTCTGTAAAAGCACAGAGTTTCCTTTTTCTATTTTGTGCTTTCATGGTGCAATGGTGCTTTGGGGAACAGACTGTTTCTCATTATATGAGAACTGCACAACGCTAGGCATGCGCAATACCTAATGAAATGTATCTTAGAATCTGCTGTAGTCTTGGACCTCTACCTTAATGCAAACAATAATTACTTATATCACATTTTTCTGTAAATCATATTTTATGGCACATCAAGGGCATATTGCAAGCCCAGGTCTATACCAAACAGCTACTGTGAGAAGAACACGCCAGTAAAGCATTAAAAACTGACTTCAAAAATACACCTTACCTGAACAGGGGTCTCCAGAGTGTAGATATGTTCCCCACGCACATTGTAGAACTTGACAAGAGCACTTTTCAACATGGAACCATTGCCAAGATCAGCTAGCTGACTTTGCTTCTCCATACCTGCTACTGCAAGCAAATCTCCCTGTGTACACCACTGTACCACCACATCTGAAATCAAAGATAATTTGCAACATTTATTTATTACAATCATTAGGAACAGTGTTTCTAGATGTGCCTAGGTGACTTGAGAACCTAAAACATGCTCTCAGAGGTTGGTTACTTAGAAGCATCAACACTTTCAGTAAAGTATGAGCATATATGCACTTCTGGGAATGTCTTTTCTGATTTCTTTAGTAAAAAATGTGTAAAAAACATTAGTTTCTCTCACTCTATGGAAAGTCGAGAATATAAATCAGAGGCTAAATTTTGTTCCTAAGTACAAGAATTTATTACACATATTAAAACTAATGTGGAAGATCTTACACATGTTTTTGGAGGTAAGTGGAATCAAGCAAACACAGACAAATAAACCTCATTGATCAAGAGAGTAGCAATGACTATTTGTTTGGAAAGGCCTACAGTGCATAGAAGCAGCATAGTTGGCAATGCTGCATATTTTCACTGGCTGTAAGCATAACATTTAATATAACTCAGATCTACATTGTCAAACTGGAAAGACTTTTGGATTTTTGACCATAAATATATATAGCCTCCATGGCTTTCTTTTGACAAATTATTTGTGAGAATCTATTCATCTGTCTAGCAGGTATTTGCCAGAAGCACACAGGGATTGATCAGTCTTTCCTTTATGTGGTTATGAATATACGTATCAGTTACTTCTCCTACAGGCAACTCATAATGAGGAATGCCCACAACTTAATTCAGAGATGCTGATTTCAAACCCTAATATCCTTCAGTTCTTTGTCACCCTTCATCAAACACACTGAAACAGTATATTGTGTTTCTGCTTGTGTTTCAGGGGCAGATTTGCATGTGCAAGGAATACTGAGTGAGTCCTTAAACCTCTCTGCCCTCAAACCAGGAGTGGAAGGTAGCTATTCTGTGCTGAGACAAAACGAAGACAAAACTTTCATGCTGTGGGATGATCAGTCTACCAAGAAGCTTTTGAAGATGTTTGTGGGCAAAAAGTAGTCTTCAAATGACGAAGCAGTAGAGAAGGCAGAGTTGGCAGGAAGGCTCTCGAAATTGTTTCAAATTGTCAACTTGTCATTGTCAGGGACTTTTATGGGTAATTTTAAGTGGTTTTGTATTACTTCAACTGTTGCCTTTCTGAAGATATTTCTTTGAAGAATAAAGTTTTTCTACATATTGGAGGCAAGATGCGTGTGTTTCAAGTTTTTTTTTTCATAAACATTGTGTTGTGCTTTTTTGCTTTTAGTCCTCAGCCTTTTAAGTAATCTATAGTTGAATTTAATTCATCTTTTCCAGCAAATATAATGAGAGACGTGTTAAAAATCAATAAGGCAAGCAGATCAACTCCACTTTTAGTAACTGACTTATCTACACAGTTACCAAAAAGAAAACAAAATCTCCTTTGGATAAATATTTTCAGGTAAAATTCTCAGTTGTTGGCCATACAAAGAGCAAGAGGTATGGTTACTTCATCTAGAAGTTTCCTCTTTCTCTAAAAACTCCCAGAATTAGACTACTGCAAAGGCACACAGCGACTTTATGAATTAAAACTTCTCTCCATGCAGAGAGACATAAGTTGTAATAAGAGTTACGGCAAAGTAAGGTAATTTTTGATAGTTAAAAATAGTGGGTTTTTTTGCTATGGATAAAGATTTGGTATGGAATACTTATTTTATATATATACAAGAATATCAATTAGCAAGATGTATTGTAATTAATCAAAACTTCTTTATTCTCTCAGAATAACTTGTTCCCTTATAATTGAAAATTCTAGCCAGATTTTAAGATTTGTATAGAATATAATATTGTGATCATATATGGTTACTAAAATAATGGAAGACACCGTGAATTAAAGATACAAACGAAGTCTTACATAGCATGAGTATTTACAAAAACAGACATAAATTTATTAGTGCATTAAACTGAAAGAAAGCAAGTATCAATTTGCTCTATCATCTCAAATACTTAAATATTTTTCCAAGACAAGAAATCTATTAACCAAGCATTAACGTTTCACCAGTAGGTGTCACTACTCGTAACAGCAATAACAGCAGCTATGAGCTCTTCTGAGGGATAGGAAGTGCTAGGTTAGGAGAGACAGGCTCAAAAACATGAAGATTTAGACACATAATTAAAAATACAAGAAAAACAGAGCATGAGAAGGGGGAAAAAAGTCTTTTGTTTGTACCTTTCAACCCTGAGCGGATGACAGTAGGAGACAAGTCATCGTAGTTGTTCATTAAACTAATATCTCCTGACGTGAAGCTGACAGTAAGCAGCGGTTTGGTGTTCTGCATTGGCACGGGATATGCAGCTGGTCCATCTGCAAAAACAAGTTTGGGCACTGAGGAAAGAGTGAACTACAGAAGAGACGGCAGCCTGGCTGAAACATTGTGCTCAAGCCTGTTGTCACAAGGAATGGCTCAGAGTCTTAAAACCTGCCTCCACATAATTATTTCTGTAGAGCCTGTGGCAAAGGCAAAGCAGCTATAACTAGTTAGTTGCTTTGCTTTTGTGAAACCCAAACTCTCTTGCCTCACTTTGCTGTTATCCATGGGACAGTGGCTCTGGAACAGTATCACAAAAATTCAAAACAACATTGCATCCCTTGACTACTAATTTCTCTTTCACTTTAGGAATTAGATACCTTTATTTAACTGATCTCTAGGTTTCTAATGCCTTCAGCTCAGGTACAATTACACAAGACTGGTCAGTTTCAGGAGGTAACTGAAACGAGGTCTCTAGCATTTTTAAATGCAGCATATCCATAAGTGGCTTACGGATATACTGTTACATAATATAGCAGTGCTTTTCAATCCTTGTCCGCTGTCAACTCCCCAAAGTGTTCACAAATTGTAAACCAGTGCTTTGAAAGGTTTTCCTGAGTGCCAAGTTGAAAAGCTACATCGTAATATAATCACATTAAAAACTCTTTATTAGGTAAATTTGCTGCTTGAGCAAGTGCTAGGTACTCCTCTTAAAGTCATTAGAGACATCATAAGGCCTCTAAGAGAACATACCAGCCTTTCACAAATTGCTGTATTTGAAATGTTAAGAGCTAGGCAGCAGAATGAAAAATTATATGCCATCCTATGTAACAGGATTCTGGGCACTCAAAGACAGAGATGAGTTCAAAGGTGCTTGCAAAGCCATTCCTGAAAAATCTCTGCTCCTCTGGGCTTATTTTTCAGCATTCGCTGATATTCCCATGTCAAATTCATAAGGACCAATATCAGCATTCATAGCATTTGCTATTTAGTTCTTTTTGTTTACAAGTTCTGACAGGAAATACTCTCATCCCCCACAAAGAGTGGCTCTTGAGCCCAAACACCACCTTTAGAGTTATCAAAAATGAGACAGGGCCGGGCAAGAGTGGTATCAGACCCTGAACTTCTGAAAGAACTGATCAAAAATACTTCAGAGAAAAAAAAGGCTAGCAATTGCCATGTGTGTGTGTAAATTGGTAAGAAAAAAACACCAAATTGCCAGCCCTTCCTACATATTTGTGCGAGTCAAAGGCTTGTCACCTTTGAGAGGTTTATGTTGCACCCACTCTAAAGAAAACACATGATGTTTGGGTATTCATTAGAAGCTGGCTTGTAGCAAGCCCATCCACCCCCATTTGACTCAGACAAACCCAGCATGTTTGGATCATTTAAATTCTCTTCCATGCACTCTCCAGCTCCACCATGTCACAGCTGGAATATCAGTATTGCAGAAGAGAAACAAAAATCAATGTAACGCTCTGCCTTGTCCTTCATTTGAAGCTTGCTAGGAAATCTGAAGAGCCTAGAATCATTTCTTCCTTTTCTTCTAAAACTACAAATCTTACCCAGCACCAAAAGCGAAGCTGTGGCATCATGTTCATATTTACTTGAAAGTCAAAACAAATCATAGTTCAAAAGATGCTAACATTTCAGATGATCATGTTATCTTCAGTCATTATTTTCAAACATACGGTTATACTGATATACACATAAAATATTCTGCAAAAGATGAATTTTGGATTGCATACAAAACTGCAAGAGTCCTGATCTGAATTCAGATCTGAAATGCTGCAATGATTCAAACTCATTTTTAGTTATTATGCATTTTATTTTTTTACTGTACAATCATCTTTAACTTAAATCAGACTTTATACACTGGAACACAGCAACAGCTAAACTAAATCGTATAGACTGATCAATAGTATTAACCAAAAGAAACAATAATCTAGTATTTGAAATAGAAAGGGTGGGGGAAGAAGCAGCAATGGCTGTATCTTATTCCAGCCTATGGATACAGTGACCTGTTAGGTCTCTGCTATCTGTAATTTCCCAAATCAAAGCATTTTACCCAATGGATTTATATTTATATTTCAGAGAAAGAAAGAATTTCTTCTTGATCCTCAAATTGGCAATGTGTTCACACACAACTAAACCTGAAACAGCTTCAGTTACCCTTCTTATACCTTATATAATTGCAGGAAATACTTTCATTTCTCATCCTGATCTCTTTTATGTCAGGGCTATCAAGGATGGAACCACAGTGATGAGCATTCTCACGGGTTAACAGGGTTTCTGGGAAATGAAAGATGTATCATTTTCTGTTATGTCTAATACTAGTGTCTTTCTGAATGATTCTAAGTGATAATGCATTAACTTGTGTGACTGTCCCCTGGCTATATGCATACATACACACTACTGCAATATCTCACATCTGCTTATCAGTGATATCTGACACGCTCTCATCTCATGCTATTTGCTGGACTAAGAGCTTTGGGTTACATCGTTTGTGCGAAGAGAGGCTCAGTAGCACAGCTGGGACATGACTTGCCCGAGCCGCAGGGCAGGCAGCAGCAGCGCTGTGTGCACAACCACCCCTCTGCTCTGCTCACCCCTCTGTGCCACCCCCACAGCCCTCCAGCCTCCACCAGCTGAAACCAAAGAGGTCCTGCTGCTTCAATATGGTGTGAGCACTCGGTGCCATTCCAGGTGCCCAGGTCAAAACTGAGAGAGAACAATTCTGAACACAACCCTACCTTGCGGTGGGGAATAGTCATCAGAGTCGGTGTCGCTCTCGCTGCTGTCCTCCACCAGGAAGCTGGGGTAGTTCCAGGACATGCTGAGGATACCATCTGACTCGTGAAGGAGAACGTGGGCCAGCATTCGGCCATGGCAGTCCATGACAATAACCTGGCCATCAGCAGTGCCAAACAGTACCTGAAAGCAACAGAAGGGCCCCAGCCCAATCAAATGTCAGCTCCTGGCGCCTCCATGGAGCACAACTTGCAATTACATAGCTACAACAAAGAGGAATCCAAGGCAGAGCTGGCAGGGATTTGAAGCCGTGCCACAATAGGATGCTGCAACCAAAGATGTACACAGTCGAAAACAGCAAAATCAAACCATTACAACTACGAAATGCTGGAAGCAAGCAATCAGAACTTGTCTCTCTGGGGCATATAGGGTAAAAGCAGCTTCCATTGATTCAGAGCCAGCAGACATGGAAAAACGTCTTGTGTCTAGTTAATATCTGCGGGGAGATAGAGAGGAGTAAGTGAGACCTAGCTAGAGGAGGCAGAACACATAGAACACAACCACGACAGATGTTTATGTGATTGCTTATCTCAAAACAAAACATGCCAGTCTATTTGATAATGCCTGCAACAGGAGAAAAAAACTGACAGAGGAACAAGAAGTAACACAGGCTAGAAGTAAGGTCCTAAAATCTTTAAGCAAGTAATTGTTCACACCGGTACTCATTTTGTTTTATTTTAATAGGAGCCTTTACACTTTATATAAACTTGGCCATTACTACCACTGAAATAAGCTGGCAGTGACTCCACCATTATCTCTGGATTATATAAAAGTTTCTAAAGTTGGTGAAAAAAAACATGGCAGGCATCAGTTATAACAAGATGAAAAGGTTCACCTGACAAAAATAAGGTCTTGGTAGAGACTTGAAACAACTTGTGAGAAAGTGAAAGCTGAATAGAAAAGGACAGCGTATTCAATTAATGAACAACACGTAGAGAGGAGGTGGGAAAATGTGTTCCAAGAACAGAGATAGAAAGCAACATGATCCATCAACTGGAGGTGGATTATTATAGCCCAAGAGGAAGATAACATGTTTTATTATAGCCCAAGAGGAAGATAACATGTTACACGCTCAGGAAGGGATAAAGTAGAGCTTTTACCCACCATTTCAAATACAAAATGGATAATGCAAAGTGGGGTATGAGGAGAGGGAAAGTGGGCTTGTCCCTAAACTGCTGTTTAGCCAAAATGTGCTGATTAAGGTAACACTACATTGGAACCTACAATTTCTATTTTATGAGCATGTTCCTTCTTGAGGTTTTGAGCAAGATAAGATGCTGCACATGTGATGAATCTTAGAAAAATATCAGGAAATGCATTTTAATGAATTCATGAAATGGTAAATGCATTAGGCAGGGCTGCTCCTCCAATCACATAACTCTACATGAGGCAAATATGCTCTAAGCAAGTTTAAAGGCAATCATCAACTTGAAATGTAGTCCGTGCTGAAAAATGAAGCGAAAAGGAACGCCAGAACTTATACTTGCCCTTCAATCTACCACTTATTTGCTGTTTTATAATCACATTTCCACATAACTTAATTTCTCTATTGCCATGCCAGAGAGTCATACAAATGGAATAGGAAATTGCCTACGCATTGGAGGGAGAAAGCCTAAACTGAACAGATCTGGAAAAAAAAAAAAAAACCTATATTTTCGTATTTCTCTGTGACAGTGCTTGTAAATTTAAGGGCCTATTAATTAAATGCCCAGATGATAAAATTAATCTAGGCCTGTATCTTATCTATAACAGTGGTCATATATTCATGGAAAAGAATAGGTTCCCTGAAAAAGCACATAGTTCCTGACAAAAACAAACAATCAACAAAAAAACTATTTCTCCTTTATTTACGGCCTGCTAATTAATAATTTCACTGGCTAAACTTTGCCTCTTACATAGTAAGAAATACAGAATAATAATTCCCTATTTACATTCTCAACATTAGACATAATCATGTAGATCTTTATTATATAATTCCTCTGCCACCTTTTCTCCAAGCTGAAGAATTTCAAATCACCCTGTACAGAAGCTGTCCAAAGCCTCTAATCATCCCTTCTGAACTCTGCTTTACTACTACTACCTTCCTTTTGAGACAAATTTACTGACTTGCAGCATTTAAACCAAATTTTACAGCAGGTTTACACAACAAGCATTTACATACAGTGCAATCGTAATGGTTGTACTTTTGAACATTTTAGAAAGGAATAATGGTTTCAAAGATCTCAAACAAAAAAAGATAATACAGATTTTTCTGGATTCCCTGCTTTTAAGGGAAACCTGCTACAATTTGCCATGGGATAATCCACACAGAAAGTCTTCTAAGCATGCTAGGAGCTGAAAGTTAGGTATAGTCCTGAAACACTGGTGTTTGGTTTCCTCACGAACCCCATGTTAATTCATATTTATTACAACAAACCAGAATATATAAAAGAAATAATCCAATTTGAACTCTGCTAACCTCCTAGCTTCTGAAATAACTTCAGACAATAAGTTTCACAAGCTAGCTTTGATATGTAAAACCATTTCTTTCTTTTGATCAGTGTTCACTCAAGGATCTATGAAGAAATCATTGAAGATTGCAATCATCTTCAATGCTCAAGACTAAAGTCCGCGCAGGTTGAAATGCACCGATTCCCAAAAGACAAGTGCTAGTCAAAAGACGGTGTATTCTGCTTTGAAGTTAATTTTTCATGAATAAACTGTTTTCATGCATCAGGCTAAATATTTAGCTAGGAGGCTAAATAATTCAGTCCAAGAGGAACAACTTCAACTTGACCAGTCATTTTGGTATGTGTGTATCTGCTGTGCTGAATTGTGTCTGGACGAGAAACAGCAGAAAATGATTTGGCAACCCTGAAATCAGCAGAACTGCAATGAACTACCAAAGACCTAGCATACAAAAGGTCCAGCTGGGGAGTCTCCCTGCTTCATAACAGAACTCTTGATTTACTCACAGCAAAGTTTTTTTTTTTTCATTAAGTATATTCTGTTGTTACTTAATTTGGTTTCATGTACACAAAGAGAACTAAGCAACAGTAAGTAAGCTCCAGCTTTGTTAACTTGAGTACACTGGTTCAGTGCAAAAGGGAAAGATCCAGTCATCTCACCACATCTGATATTATGCTGAGAAAAGTTGACTTCCAAATAATGACCTATAGTCTCAGCAGCCATTAACTCAATTCAGTCAATGAAGGTAGCTTGATATTTTTCTTATATATTTAATATCCTACAATAACTTATATTTATTCACTTTTTATTTGATTGTATTTTTACGGTTAGCTTGCTCCATGTTTTCAATCCATCTTCATATGAGAAACTGTTCTTGGCTCTTGGCCATTCTCTTCTTTGGTTGCTCTTCTTTGAGCCTCCTCCACATGGTTTTTGTGAGATCATGACTTACACTGTCCTCATTTGAGGCAAGATCAAACACGGACTTCTGTAATAAAACTGTTATATTTTTGTGTTCCTTATGCATTTTGATATACCCCAATGGTCTTTGACTGCAGATACAAGTTCAAGTAGGTTTTCACTAAGCCAGCGAGACAAAGAAGTTCAAACACTAATATGTAATTTTAACATAGAAACTGATGCAACTTATAGTAACAGCTTGCATTTGAATTCTTGGATACACCAAAATATTCTGAAAATTAATGCCATCTGTCATGAAAACTCAAATGCTCCAATATTTTCTGAGCTGTGCCTAAGATGCCAACCTTAAAATATAGCCAGGGAACAATTTCTTTAGTTATCACTCTTCCTTCTTCCCCATGTAAGTGGCAGCTGGAACAACAAAGTATTTGATCACAAGCAGGGTTTTTTTTTTTTTTTTTTCCCCCAGAAAGTGACTGTTCAGATTATAAAAAGAGAAAGGGATGCATCCTACAGGTTGCTTATTAGGCCACTGCAGCACACTGTGCTGTACTGAACAGTGAAATTTCCAAGCCAATTTCTACAGTCTTAATTAATCTAGACAACTGTCATCTGTAAATGTTGCTAACTCATAACAATAATTCTTTTCTAAAAAAAAACTAATATACAGAGTGATGAAAAAGCAAGCCCACTGTTCACATTCTTATAATGCAAATTTTATGATTTTCTTTTTTTTTATAATCCAACTTTCACAGACTAGATCCTAGTCAGTTTTTCTCTAGGCACTGCCAATCCATACATATTAAGTAAAATAATATAATTATAATAGTAGGGAGTGTGAAGCAGCTATATCCCTGCTATGACAGACTTGCTCTTTCAGCATTTTGTGTTCCTCTTTGCCCTTCCGGTTCCTTTTTTGGATGAGCACATCCATCTGCTGAAATCTCATTATCGGGTATTAATGCCACCATTAACAGTTTTACCCTGCATCCATCTCCACTTACAACCTTCTTGCCCAGCTCTGTCTTATTGAAATTCTTTAGAATTGTCCTTTCATATTTTTCTTTAGTATCCTTTCCCCCTTCCATCTCCCCAGGGGAGAAAAAGTCAGAACTGTATTTCGGAAATCATATTCTGTAGAAATGCCAATAAGACCAGCTGCGTATGCATTGCCAAACATACACTGAGCAGTTCAGAGCTGAATTAGATATTCCATCTGCTCTGATTTAACCATAAGGCCAAACATTAGTATTCAAGATAGGAACAAGTTTTACAGTCTTCACCATTCTGCCATCGCACTACTAGACATAAATCTATTTTTGTGATTCAAGATTAACTGAACTATAAACTGATTAAAGCATAAAATGATGCATCAAACATCTACTTAAGCAGGTATGCTCAATGACACAGAGAGTATGTGGAAAATTACTGCCTTTAAATATTTTCATTCCACAGTATTAGTCTAAAATAAAATGTTATTCTTGAAAAGGTTTGGTTAGCACGTTTTGTGGTCCACTTAGTCACAGTATTAGCATTTTACATTTCTTGTGCTCTTTTTATTTATTGCTTCCACATCAGAAAGCATAAGATGATGCAGCAGCATCTTGTTAGTATACAGAAAAAAAGTGAAAAGATCTTTTTTCCCCCCTGAGTGTGGTATCTCTGGTTTTATTTCTTTTACTTCGAAATGTATATAGAAAAAAAGAGAGAATCCAGACAGAGGGAGACAGCTGCTC